CATACTCTCGCAATATTGAAGAAGTGCATAACCACTTAAAATGCCAGGCATAATCGGCTGTGGACCAAGTCCAGGTAAATGGGATCAGTGTATTTTGGTGTTTGTTGGTCAGCATAGACATGGTGGGCCGAAGAGTCTGATTCAACGTCTTATGACTCAATCAATCTAAAAAAACTTAATGAAGTCTACGTAGGCTATATCAACTGCAATATGCTCATTTACATGCTTACTTACCTCCTCAAAAAAATCCAGATTTGTAGACATGATCTCACACTTGCAATGCCATAATGACTATCCTTGATTAATCCTTCAGAGATAGTAAGAACTGCAGATGCTGGAGTCAGAGACAGCACAGCGTGGAGCTGGAGGAACACAGCAGGTCCTCTGATGTTGCTTCAGAGCAGCAGCATCAAGTGGAGATTAATTTTGTTCTCAGAATTTTGTCCAATAGTTCCCCTACCACAGATATTAGACTCTTAGGCCTGCAGTTTCCTGGAATATCCCTCCACCCTTCTAGAATAATGATTTGTTAGCTGTCCTCCAGTACCCCTCCTGTTGCCAGAGAGGATTTGAAAATTAATGGCAGAGCCCCTGAAACCTTCTCTCCTCCCTCCACTTTAGCCTCTACCACTTTATTCAGAGGGGTGCAGATCATATGCAGAACAAAAGGCATTTCAGGACGATTTTATAGCCTAAAGATATAGGTTCAGGCATTTTGCAGCAACAGCCTGATTATTACTTGAGATTACAGCCTTGAAATCTCTCCCGAGTGTCTGTTAATACTTTTCATTTTTACTGGAAGATATCAACCTAATGCTGCTTACGGTAACTCAAAGAATATGCTTTCTATATGGACATAAATATCATAGCATACAAGGCACAGCTTTTCTTCCTGCTCAGGCACATGCACATAGTCCTTTTAAGACAAGTCCTAATTGCCATGCCTCCTGAGGTCAACTGGAGGCTAACTGCGCCTGAGAAGGTCTTGAGATCAATCAGAGGTCAGGGAACTAGAAGATAATGACTGGATTTTTAAAAAAAATCTTGGCAGTGAAATTTAGCAGAGCAACATCCATAGCGTAAAACACTCATTTCAAAATCTTTATATGAATTTAATTTCATTTACACTACTAACCACATACTTTACAACACTGTGCTGATATTGACAGCATAACTGTTGCTGATGGCCACTATTCATCGCTTACGGCTAATAATGACATTGCAATTATCTTACAGGTTAAATTAAGTAATAAATCAGGAAGTAGGTAACTAGGAGAATCCCATCTCCTTTCAACCTTGGTCCCTGGCATTATGAGATGACATAACAAGTTGTTTCTCCATTACTTGCAATGTTTGATTCTTGTGTGACCAAGGAATGAAACCATCACATCCACATGGTAAATACAAAACAGAAAAGTTCAGGAAATACGAACCAGCACCATGACCTATTCTCACACACTGTTTAATAACACTTCCTGTAAATAAGGATGTGGAGTGCTGGTGTTGGACTGGGGTGCACAAAGTCAGGTGTCACATAACACCAGGTTATAATCCAACAGATTTATTTGAAATTGCAGAGTGCAGCCCCTTCGTCAGGCGCAGTAAGAGAGCAGAGCACACTGACCCAGAGTTTACAGGCAGAGAGAACAAAAGATCATAGAACTGGTGTGAGTGGAGTGTCAGATGATAAGTCTCTGCAGGTGACTAACAGTGTTAGATGGTGAGTCAAGTGTCAACAGTTGAATAACTAGTGAAGGGATGACCTATAATTGGATTAAGTGAGGCAGAGAGATAATTACAAAACATTAAAAATAAGGTGGTGCTGGAGGCAAACTAAATGACTGGAATTGCATGCTGAATTCAAAACTGTACAAACTAATTAAGGTAGACAGATCATAACAATTCATCAGGGTGATGCTGTCAAAACAAGACAGTAAGAAAGATTTTACAGATACAGAACAGTGTGGTGGGGTCACCTGTAGCGCCTGATCTCTTTGTCTATAAACTTTGGGTCTGTGTGCTCTGCTCTCCCACTATACCTGACAAAGGGGCTGCACTTCGAAAGCTTGTGTGATTTCAAATAAACCTGTTGGATTATAACCTGGTGTCGAGTGACTTCTGATCCTGTAATAAGGAAACTAAACAACACACTTGTGATTATTATAACCTAATCTCTCAATCTGCTGAGTAGCTTGATTAAAGGGAATCAGTTCTCTACAACCAAAAGCACAAAATATCATTTAAAATGGAAGGCAATTTTGAAGAGTTATTAGAAAGGAGAAGTGATTCTCAGCTGCTGTTCTGATCCTGTTTTTATTTGTATTCTGAAGCAGTGCTGTCCACTACGTTAGCCACTAGCTATAAGTGGCCAATTGCGTATCCAAAGTGGTTAATTGCATTTCTGATCAGAAAATACAAAACGCGTTAGAAACACAGATTCCGGCTGCAGGATTTCAAAACTCATATGTGTGCAGGTCACAACACATGTGAACATTAGCCTTTCTTAGAGGTTTTACTGGTAAAACGCTAAGATTAAAGGCAGAATGTGCAAGCCCCTTCTTGATCGTTATTTGTTTCAATTCTTCGGTCACTGCTAATTGGTCATCTCCAAAACGTGTCAAAGACGGATGAAAATGCCAAACCTCAGCACCATGGAAACACCAGCATTCTTGTCTGGGAACAATTGTCACAGTGGCCAATTTGACTGTTCCAAGCCAGCGGAAGGAAGCCGTACAAAGAAGAGCAGCTCCAAGAGAACAAGCAAAGGCAGGTCTCCTACGCCCTGAGCAAGTCAAAATTCTGGGCAACCACACTGGCGATGTCAAAATATTGGTGCGTGACAGCTGGATAGAAAGTTCAAAGTTGTATCAGGATGTGGTGGGTCTGGTAAGTTCTGTCCAGGATTTCAAGCACTGGCCAAACGATAGAACTGCAAAATTTACCATTGAATGAGGCTAAGTATTTGTTAAGAAATTTGTACAAGTTCATTTACCCACAATACAGGCAAGGCATTGTCTAATAAAATTCATGCATGTGGCTGAAAGAACATTGCTAGAAAACCTGCATTAATGCAGCAATTTGTAATGGAAAAGACTGCGCTGAAAGGAAGCAAACAATAAGCAAAGGGAAATATTCAAAAGCAATGTCCTTTGATGCACCTTACCCTGAAAAAGATATCTAGATGTTTAATTAGGCTATCCCAAACACAAGCGACTGCCATTAATGTCATCTCTTTCCATCCATAAAGATTAGGTACTGATGCCAGTAACTGCATCCGACTGTTTCAAAGGTCAATGCGAACTACATCTTACAAGGTGCCGGATTTTAAAAAGATTGAATCACCTAACCACTGTTTTGTGATTCCTCAGCCAAAGAAGATCTAGTCATCACACTCTGACACAAGAAATATTTTGTTGCAAACTGCTACACATATGCATTTCTCCAAAGCATGTTGTCCACCATTCCCATGGTTCACGATGAATCTATTGCCTTTTAACAAATTAGCTTTATGAGGTGCTAATTAAAAACACTTTAGTTCTTGTTACAGTATTAGAATGAACATGTTGATCTGGTACATATTGGCCATTTCAAAAAAATGTTGAAGGTTTTCCAATTGCTAATACCTTGTGGGACTACATCATTCTACAAGACAGGAATCTATTTTTGTGCAGGGGAGTGAAGGGGCACTTTTGATTTTAATAACTCACGGTATGTGAGCATTGTTTGACAAGGCCAGCGTCAACTGCCCTTGAGAAAATGATGTTGAGCCGTCCTCTTGAACCGCTACTGCTCACGTGATGCAGAGAAACCCACAATGCTGTTAGGAAGGGGATCTTAGGATCTTGAAACAGCTGCAATGAAGGTTGCTGGTTTGAAAGCAGTCCTTGGCAAGTTGGTGCAATGCATCTTCTAAATGGTTATACATTGTTGCCACTGCGCACGAAGAATACAGGGAATGTATGTCTAAGATTGTAGATAGAGTGACAATCTGCAGGCTGCTTTTTCCAGAATGATGTCAAGTTTGAGTGTTGTTGGAGCTGCACTCGTCCTGGTAAGCGCATTATCTCACACTGCTGATGTGTGCCTTGTAGATGGAAGGTGGTGTTTTAAAAAAAAATCACTTGCTAACAACACTCAATGTCTGACTGGCTTTGGTGGCCATATTTTTTACATGGCCAGTCTTGTTGCATTTTTGGTCACTGGTAAACATCGAAATATCCGTTATGTGCCAGACATACGGAAAAGACAGGCTTCCATGTAAAAAAAATTGAGTCTATAACTTATGTCAATATCATGGTGGGGATTCAACAGTGGCACTTAATACAATGAGAAGGTGGTTACACTGTTGCTCATTGTCATTGTTTGGGATATGTAGCACAAATATTACTTGCCACTTATTAATCCGAGCCAAAATGTTGTCCAGGCCTGGCTGCATTTGGGCACAGGCCATTTCAGTATCTGAGGAGTTGCGAATAGCGCTGGTCACTGTGCAAACATCCCCATTTCTGGCCTTGTGATAAAGTGAAGGTCACAGACGAAGCAGCTGAAGCTGGCTGGGTCACTACCCCGAGGAACCCGTACAGAAATAGCCTGGGACCGGGAGGGTTGTCCTCCAACCACCGTGAGCGTCCTCCTTTGTGTGGAGCGTGACTCCCACTGGCACAGATACATACTCACCCCCAATGATGCCCATCAGTGTGGGTTTCACTGGGGCATCTTGATGTCACACAGGCAACACCAACTCACGTGCCAATCGGAGACACCTTTGAAGGGGACGACAGGGTCAGTCCACCCAGATCACCTACCCCCAAGATCAACAAAACATGTGGAAAATACGGTTTTGGTGGTGGGCATCTCATTGACATGATTGAAATGGGGAAGCAAAGACACCTGTGATATTTTAGATCAGAGAGTGGGAAGAGAGGGAGAGAGAGAGTGAAAGAGAAAAGCCCAGGGCCAGCCACATCCTACAGAATGCAAGCAGCTGCCCCTGCTCCTACCTGGATACTGAAGTCTCGAATATGAGCCATTTCCATGGGAGTCGGTCAGACAGTGCTTAGAGGTCTCTGTGGCTGTGGGTTACAGTACAGCCTCTAAAGGCAGGCCCAAGGGGACATTACCGCCGCCAAAGGCCGCCTGGATCCTCCGCAAACACCGATCAGCCCCTCACTGTTTGGGTCTCCAGCTCGCCTGCTGCCCGCCCACAGCGCGCAGGCGCGGACGTGCCGCGGCGCACGCCGGGACCAGGAGTCCTGGAGTCGGCCGCCGCCGCCCCGCACAGCGCGGCGGGGACTACAAGCCCCGGCGTGCCCCGCGTCGCGCCCAGGTTCCGGCCTGAACCTGCAGGCCGGCTGGGCTGGCGTCACTCCGCACAGCCGCAGTATGTCCAGCTGTCAATCACCCTGACGGAGCCCCGCCCCCCAATGACACGCACGGCAATCTCAGCAGCAGGCCAACAACAACTTGCAATTGCACAGCACCTTCTTCTAACCCGGCATTGGAGCATTCTCAGACACCACTTTAAACCCAAATCCTACAAAGCCAAGAAACAGACAAAGGGCAGTACCCAGAGCTCTGTGGAAAAAAACGGCTAGATGTAGGAAATAAGAGCAGAATCATAGCACAGAAGGAGGCCATTCGGTCCATCGTGACTGCATGCACTGGCTCATTAAATGAGCTTCATTACCTAGTGCCAATCTCCTGCAGTTTCCCCATATACTTGTCTCCAGCACACTTCCTGGCACTGCATTCCATACTGTAACTACTGGCTGCACCAGAACATTTTTGCTCACTTCACTCTTGCTTCTTTTGCAGATCACTTTAAATCTATGTCCTCTCTTCCTCATTCTTTTCTGTGTGGAAACAGCTGCTGGCCATCTATCCTAGCCAGCCTGCACATGATTTTGAGAACCTCTATCAGATCTCTCCAAGGAGTCCCACCCTCTTCAATCTATCCTCATAACTGGAGTTCTTCATCCATAGAACCATCCTTGTAAACTTCTTTTATGCATTCACATCCTTCCAACTAATATAGCACCCAGAACTGTCCACGATACTCCAGCTGAGATCAATGGAGTATCTTACTCAAGTAGACCATTTGGTCCCTGCTTCTCCATTAAATAAAATCATGGCTGATCTATTTGTGTTTCGAATTCCACATCCCCACCTACTCCCGATAACTCTTGATTCCCTTGTTCACCAAGAATCCATCTACCTCTGCCTTATAAATGTTTAATGATGCTGAATCCACCATCATCTGAGGCAGAGAGTTTCAAAACTGCACAACTCTCAGAGAGAAAAAAATTTCCCCTCATCTCTGTCCCAACAGAGAAACCTCTAATTTAAAATCGGTGCACACTAGTTCTGGACTCATCTTTGAGAGGAAATTTCATTTCCACATCCACCCTGTTAAGATCTTTCAGAATGTAGGCAACCCAGAAGAAATACTAACTTCAGAGGGATCAAAGGGAACAAACAGAGATCCAAATCAGGCAGGGCATACTGTGAACATTTTTGGGCACTGCACATGTAGAGGTACAGCAAACTTTTTATTAACCAGCACCTGTGGGACCGGGGATGCTGGTTATTCAAAGATTCCAGGTAATCAAGAGGTACGCATAACCACAGTAAACTCTGACCAAGTGAAGCTTCGAGACATCACATCCCTGAAAACATCATTGTAAAAACATCAACACACCTCCTAAAATCAATGTAAAACCACACAGTATGCAATAGAAATGTAATGCGGGGGGAATACACATCACTGTTATACTTTATTTATACCATAAATGCTCAGACATCTTGGTAAGTCATGGTATTTGAGGGGTTTTTTTGCCAGTTTATCAAGAGTGCTGGCTGATAAGATGGCAGTTAAAACTAAGTTTGCTGTATTTGAGGGAGTCCAGTGTTGGTTTACCAGAATGCTACCTGAACTTCAAGGGTTAAATTGTGAAGGGGTAGCTCTGATCCTGATGCCAACTGATTTCCCTCTCATACCATCTTTCTTCTTATACAACTGAGAGCAAAATGATTGTGATGATTTCTAAACGACAGCATTATCTGGTAATAATGATATGCCAAAGATTTAAATGATGCTTCCTGTCTTATTTAAGAATCTTTATGCTCTCAGAGAGTTTTCAGCGTAGTTAATCGATTTTGGTTTTGTTAAACATTTTGTTCACAAAGCATGGAAAAATGTATCTGATGCTAACTGAGAAATAGAAACATTAATTTAGATATTAAAAGTTAGTTGAAATGCTTTATTTAACAATTTTGAAATTCTATTTTTAAAATTTTGTTTCATGTATTTGTTTTTAAAAATCACAAAGGAAAACATAACATGACCATTCTTTAAAATTCTAGCCTTTCATTCAGCTTCCTTTTTAATTACTCATTTTTGCAGTGTTGGCTTTAAAAAGAGTATTTTACCCACTATACTCCATAGCCTTCACCAAACTGCTAATAATTGACACTAAACTGGCAGAGTGGTCGCAAAGTGGATCAGATGACGAGTGGCAAAAATCCTCACTTTAAAAGGTCTTCCACCAGTATCCTTGTAAACGTCTCCCTTTTTAAAAAAATAATTAACTTACATTTTACATTTTGCCAATTATCTCAAGCAAAACCCATAAATCTTACAAGCACCTTGAACATATAGGAGGGTTGGAAAACTGGAACATTGAATCATTTCTGATCCAATTCTTTAGTCCAGTCCTGACTTCCTGTCTTGTCTCTAACCTCCCCCTGTCCCAATTAAGTATTATCTCCCATTTCAGCACCTCAATTCTCTTTCCATTTGTGGCCCTCTTGGGAATGTGCAATTTTTTAAGCCCTTGCTTTCCTGGATTTAATTTTCATAACTTCTACTCAAATTAGAAGGCATCTTCTTCTGCGCTCCTCTAGAGGGAAGATCCAAACACACTGGACTCCATCAGTTGTCACCACAGACTTAAACTTCCGTCCCAGACTCTGCATCTCCAAATTCTCCTAGTCTCCCATCATTATTCAATTCCGTCATTTCAAGCTCTTCCTAAAATGGGACACACTAAACGTGCATAGCACTTTCCATAACTGCAGGACCATTTCCTCCTTTTATTATTGGGACTTCTTGTGACAATGTGAAGTTCCCATTACCCTCTGTGGACACGTTTTGCATTAAAGTGTTATCTCATAATGACTTAGGCCCCAAAAATATGTGCATCAATGATTCCCCATTTACATTCTAAAACATATCATTTCACACTTTATGTGTTACCATTCCTTTCTGTCATTTAAGCAGTTTGCAATGTTGTGCTTTCTTAACAATATGCCTTAGTTTAGTATTATCAAGAAAAGTTGGACAAACCCCATTTGTTTCATCACTCATTTATGCATCAGAATGAAAGACTGGAGCCTCAGCATGTACTCACTAATCTGAGAATATCTCTTTCATACCAATTGTTTATCTCCATGCCTAAACAGTTTTTGTTCCATTCCACAAATCTACACATCTTAATCTTAACTAACAAACTATTGTGTGGAACATTATCAAAAACCTTTTAAAAATCCACATATGCAACATCAATCATTCCTTCTCTATACATCACCTTAGTGAATCTTTCAAAGGTTTCTATTACATTTGTTGAAATAGGCTTGCTTCACAAACCATGCTGGCAGTCTGGAAAAAAAAGCACCCATTTTTCTGCTTGGGATCTCAACAGCCTTCTGGACTCAATATCGAGTTCAACAATTTTAGGGCTTGAGGCACCTTTCCCAAGTCCTTACCCCAACCCCCACACACCAGACCTTGTTCGCATATAGCCTGCTATTACACACGACCCATCATTAGCTCCTAATTGTCCATTAATACCTATTCGTTCTCCCAGGCTACTTTCTGCATAAAACCACCCTTTTCCAAGCTACAAGGTGCAGGGCTGAATGAACACAGCAGGCCAAGCAGCATCATAGGAGCAGAAAGGCTGACGTTTCGGGCCTAGACCCTTCATCAGAAAAAGGCTTTTTCTGATGAAGGGTCT